GAGCGGCAGGCGGGGGAGCCGGGAGCACTGCCCGCAGCACCACGGCGTGGTCAGGGAGGTGCGGGTCAGCTCCGGCCACGCTTGGGTTCCTGGGGCAGCGCAGGAGGCTCAGCAGAGCCGGGGGGCCTGATCCTGCCATGGCCTTGCTTCTCCCCTGCCAGGAACAAGGGCGGCCTGGGCAGCTCGGCCGTGTGCGCCTTCCCCATGCGCAGCGTGCAGCGAGCCTTCAGTGGGCTCTACAAGGAGGTGAACCGTGAGACGCAGCAGTGGTACACGGACACCGGCCCTGTGCCGGAGCCCCGGCCGGGCACGGTACGTGCCTCCTCGGCACCTGCCTGGGTGCAGGATGGGGGGCAGCCCCTTGTGCTCTTCCGGTCCTGGTGGCCACCATGGCATGGCCACTTGCCTGCCTGCTGCCCCGTGCCCCAGCCAAGCCCCCTCCTCTCTTCCCAGTGCATCACCAGCCACACGCGGCACCTGAAGATCAACTCGTCCCTCCAGATGCCAGACCGGGTGCTGAACTTCATCAAGGACCACTTCCTGATGGACAGCCCCGTGCGCAGCCAGCCGCTGCTGCTGCAGAGCCGCGTGCGCTACCAGCAGATCGGCGTCCACCGTGCGCAGGGCCTCCACGGCACCTATGACGTCCTCTTCCTGGGCACAGGTGGGTGCAGCCGCGGGCTGCCGACGGGGCGGGTGCCGGCACGCCACGTGCCCCGGCCCCTCTCAGCACGGCCCTTGTGTTTGCAGACGACGGCCGGTTGCACAAGGCTGTGCACGTGAACCACGGGGTGCACATCATCGAGGAGATCCGCCTCTTCCCCGCCGGCCAGCCCGTTCTCCAGCTGCTGCTGGACCAGGAGCAGGCAGGAGCTGGGCACGGGCGTGGGGGGCTGCTGTGGGCTCAGCCTGCGTGGGGCAGGTCCTGACCCTGCTGCAGGGCTCCGGGGCTGGGGCTGCCTGCTGACCCCGCTGTGCCCCCGCAGGGCAGCTTGTACCGCAGCTGCGGCGAGTGCGTGCTGGCACGGGACCCCTTCTGCGCGTGGAGCCGGGCCCCCTGCCGCAGGACCACCCTGCACCCCCCCGCACACCCCCAGTAAGTGCTGCACCCCCTCTCCATCCCCCTGCACCCCGCAGCACCCTGCAGCACCCTGCTGCCCTGACCCCTTTCTGTCCCCAGGCTCTGGGCCCAGGACATCGAGGATGCTAACACGGAGCGGCTCTGCCAGCTGGCCAACGCCTCCCAGCCTCGTCCCCGCGTCCTCCTGCCCCCAGGTGAGGTCCTGCAGGTTCTGCCCCTGGGGCTGGGGCCGCTGCCAGCCCAGGGTGTCCCGGGGGCTTCCGTGTGCCCCAGGCTCCCGCTCGGCACCCCAATCACCCTCGCACCTGCTGCCAGGGGTCCCACAGCCTCGCTGACGTCCCCACGGGTTCTCTCCCCGCAGCCTCGGGCGCCCCGTGCCAGCGGATCCAGCTGCCACCCAACGCGGTGCGGCCGCTGCCATGCCAGCTGCTCTCCAACCTGGCCTCGCGGCGCTGGCTGCACGACGGGGCGCCCGTCAACGCCTCCTACCTGGTGCTGCCCGACGGGGCCCTCATCCTGGTGGGCAGCCCCGAGCGGGCAGGCACCTACGAGTGCTGGTCGTTGGAGGAGGGCTTCCACAAGCTGATGGCCAGCTACTGTGTGAGCGTGCAGGAGCCAGCCCGTGGGCTGCCAGACCCCGGCAGGAAGGTGGTCGCCGGCCGGGACACCCTAGAGACCGTCAGCACGTCCCGGAGCACCTCAGTGGTGGGTAGCGCCGCAGCCCAGCTGGACGGCAAGACCTACTGGACCGAGTTCCTGGTGATGTGCGTGCTCTTCGCCACCGCTGTCCTTGTGCTGGCCCTCTTTCTCCTGCACCGGCACCGTGATGGCATGAAAGCCTTGCTGGAGCCCAGCGATCCTGGCCGGCACCAGAAGCCACCCCGCAAGCCGGTGGAGAGCCTGCCCCTGAACGGCAGCAGCCTGCCCAGCGCAGTGCCCGAGCACAAGGGCTACCAGGCCCTGCAGGACAACTACATCGTCAGCACCCCCATGCACGAGCCCCCAGGCCCCCCACGCGCCTTCTCCGAATCGGAGAAGAGGCCCCTCCATGTCCGGGACAGCTTCGTGGAGGTGTCTCCTGCCTGCCAAAGACCCCGGGTGCGCCTGGGCTCCGAGATCCAGGACTCGGTGGTGTGATGGGGATGAGCCGAGCCCTCGCCCATGACAGTCTCTGCTCTGCTGAGCCTCACTGGACCGCGGCGCCGCGGCTGGGGTCCGTGTTGTCTGTGTGTGCATGCCTGGAGCCCGCGCCCTGCCGCGGCACCCACCCAGCTGGTGGGGCCGGCCCCATGTCGCCCCATCGGGGCTTGGCTTCCCTGGGAGCTCCCTGGGCATCGCCTCGGCTGCTCTGGCCCTGCTCCTCAGGACGGTGCTGGCAGTGAGCGGTGCGAGGGTGCTGCGTGCCTTCCAGGGACATGTGGGACTTTTCCCCCAGCCTGGCGTCCCCACCGCAGGGATGGACACGGTGCCCGGCTCGGGCTGCTGGCATGACCCTGGTTCTGCTGGCTCCGCGGGGCCCCGGCCCCTCTATGCAGAGGGCAGGAGGGAGCAGCCATAGCCCCCTTGCGCCCCGACTCACTGTGACGTCCCGCTGCGGGACCCGGAGCCACGCGTGCAGCCAGGCGGTGCCGGCGCAGCGACCCCGTGGCATGTGCTGTGTGTCTGTGCTTGGTTCGTTTTTAATACGTTGAAAATGTGAATCGTGTCCCGGGGAGGAAGCGGGGTGTGGCGCTCGCCCCACGCTGGGCTGGGCAGCGACTTGCCCCCTGCGTCCCCGTGTGTGTGTGCAGAAACGTCTGTGGTTTTTATATAAAGTCCAGGTGTCTCCTTTGGATGTGTGTGTGCTGCTGCGGCAGGGCTGGGCGCCTTCCCGGGGCCGACCGTGGCCAGGACCATCCCAGCGGCTCCACAGAAAGGAACCTCTTGCCGCAGTCGAGGGAAAACCTGCCCGTGACCAGCTGCTCCTCGGTGGGGACAGACAGACGGATGGAGCAGGAGGGTTGTGCTGGCAGTTGCATCTCCTGCAGTCTGTGAAGTCCCCGTGTGCTTGGCCGAGCATTGGGGTGGGTGCCCTCGCAGTGAGGCTGCCCGGGGCTGGTGCCAGAGGGTCCCTGTGGCCCACTGTCGGGGTGCTGCGCAGCCACGGCGGCGCGCTCGGGCAGCACGCAGCTGTTTGGGGGCCGCGCGTGCTGCGGCGGGCAGTCTGGCGGGGGCAGAGTGCAGTGGCCCCCACGGTGGGGGGAGCTGCAGAGCGATGGGGTGATGCTGTCCCAGCACCACGAGATGTGGAGGTGACCAGGAGGGAGAAAACTGGGTGCCTGGGGCTGGGGCAGCCTCCGGCAGGAGAGGACCTGCGGCAGCCCCCTTCTCCAGGACCACAGTCTTGTGCTGCACGTGGGGCCCCGCTGCCAGCCCAGGGAGCAGGCAGGGCCTTCTCCCCATCCCGCACAGCTGCAGGCAGACCCCGGCCGCTTTGCCAGCAGGACCCGACTCCGTGACGGCTGACGGCCGGGACCTGCGGTGCGGCGCGTCTCGTGAGCCCTCGTGCCTGGGAAGCGCTGGCAGCGCGAGCGCGGGGCTGGGGGAAGCGGTGAACTCCACACCAAGCTGGCACGTCGGGGCAGGCTCCCCCCCGGGGACTGGCACTGCCTTGCTCCCGGCGGGACCAGCGCACCAAGCTTCCTGCCCAGCCTGTTCTGGGACATCAAAAAAGCCACCGGAGGCGTTGGCTGGTGCTGTGCCAGCAGACGCAGCCCCCGGCGCCGCAGGCCGCGGCGGGCAGATACCAGCAGCACTGCAGGGCACCAAGCTGGAAGGGCCAGCACCGCCGGCAGCAAGGAGCCGGTACGTGAGAAACGGCCACGCCGGCGCCCCGAGACAGCCGTCAGCCGCTCCACCCCGGGGCAGGCACCGCCATGGCCGGCCCCCCGAGCCCCCCGCCAGCCGCTCCACCCCGGTGCAGGCACTCCCATGGGGCGAACCGGACCCCAGGCCCAGGCACCGCACCACCCCGGCACATGGTGCCGCAGCCTGGACTTCGCCTTGCAGAGCGGCTCCGGCGAGGAGGTTTGCCGGCACGGTGCGAGCGCTGCTGGGGGCGGCCGGGGGCTCGCTGCGAAGCGCGGGCAGGGCCGTTGCCCGTGGCTGGCGGCGGGCCAGGGCGAGGCCTGATGGATGAACAGACACAAAGGGCTCCGGCGCTGCCCGCGGCAAAGGTAGCTGCTTGCCTGCCCTGGATTTCCCTTTGTGCCTCTTGCTCGGGAGCCGAGCTCTTTGTGCTGCTGAGAACAATCCCTGGTTTTGGAGGAGGGGAAGGCTGTCACCCAGCGGGACGCGGGACCCGTCCCCCGGCGCTGCGGCTGGTGTGCAGGCAGAGGGATCTGGCAGGAGGCTGCGTCCCCAGCACCCCTCGTGGCACCGGTCCCGCCGCGCTGCCGGAGCAGCCCCCTCCGCCGTCCCCGCGCCCGGACAAAGGCGGCACAGAGCAGAGGGTGAAACCAGAGCCCTTTATTTGTGTCCTCGAAGGAGCAGAGGGAGGAAGAGGCCAGGGCAGGCAGAGCAGCTGCTGAGCTTCAGCCAGAGGAGGGGGCAGAGAGGAAAAGAAGAGGAAAAGGAGCACAGGCCCCCGAGCGTCCCTGGGGTGAGGCGTCCTGCATCCCATGCAGCCGTGGGGGGACAGCTCTGCTGCCGGGACGGCACATCTGCAGCGCCACGTGCATTACTGCTCAGAGAAATGGATCCGTGTTTGGGTTATTGCTCAGAGGAACGGATCCGTGTTCGGGTTATTGCTTAGAGGAATGCCCGCCAGTGGAAGGCACGAATGGGTACTGAAGGCAGAGAGGGGCTGCGCTCCTTCAGCGTGGCCCCCGCCCAGCAGCACCTCTGTGTGCCACCCCCACCCACAGAGCTGCCCTTGGTTTGCATAGGGAGTTAAACTCTGATCCTGGGAGAGCAGAGCGGCTGCAGGCAAGGCAGCTTCCCAGACCCCACCTCTGGGGCTGCAGAGACGCCTGCCATCTCGGCGCGACAGGGGAGCAGGAGGGTGTCCTGCCTAAGGCACTGTGTGGCACTGCCGGGCTGGTGAGGAGCTGGTGAGGAGCTGGTGAGGAGCAGGGGCCTCCGCTGCTCTGCTCGCTGAAAGAGGAAACGTCTGAGACCACGAAGAGCTGCAAGAGCCAGAGGAGCAGCTCTGCTGAGAGCCGCGGGGCTCTCACAGGACGATCTTGAAGGAGCTGTAAGAGACACGACAGGTTCTGCACCTCCCCGCTGGCTCACACGCAAATGGTTTGCAAGCGCCCGGTGCTACGGGGAGGCAGCGTTACCCTGTGCGGAGAGGCTCGCTGCAGAGCTAGCATGGGATGCAGTTCCCTCTGCTGTTACGAGACCAAGAGCTCTGCCCCAGCGCCAGCACAGCGATCAGGGTGGGCGAACCCCCCAGACAGGCCCCCCGGGACAAGCTGCGGCACTGGAGACCACCGTACCTGGCAAAGTCCGGGGAGCGGGAGACGACATGCTGGAACTCGGAGAGGTTGATGGTGCCGTCCTTGTCGATGTCGGACTCCTCCAGGATCTGGAGGGGAGAGAAAGGCGAGGGGTGAGCTCTGCGTGGCTGGGACCGTGCAGCAGCCCGTGCCCAGCCTGACAGGCCTCACATTTTGGATGAGTTGCTCCATCTCCGCGTTGCTCAACCGGGACTCCTCGCCTTGCCCCGTCAGACAGTCCACCAGTTTCTCCAGGTCCCTTCTGTCCAGAGTCCCATCATCATCAAAATCTTTGGGGAGAGGAAAGTTATGTTTCGGCAGGGCCGCAGCGACCCCCGAGTCAGGAGCACCCGTGCTTGGCGAGGAGTGACCCGAGGACAGAGCAGGCTCCACGCCGCACCTCTCGGTGCACGTCATCGTGCCAAACCAGCAGTTCCCACAGGGAGTTCCTAAAGCTGCCACCCCCACGGGTGCTCTGAGGGCGCTGCCAGCCCTCGCGAACAAGGATTCGTCCCTGCCCGCCCCCCCCCGAGGCGCGGGGGCCCCAGGATACAGCATCTGCCCCCAGCCTTACCGAAGATGCGGAAGGCATAGTGGGATTTGATCTCCGAGGTAGCGGAGTCGCTGAAGACACTCAGCATATCGAGGAAGTCTTCAAAGGACATGCTGTCATCCCCATCGTCCGAGGTAGAGAACACCCGGCAGATCCGGTGCTGGAAGGGGTTTGCCTGCCAACACAGCAGCAGCTCGGGGTAGGGCAGACACCGGCCGCAGGCTGGTGCCACCCCCCACGCAAGCGGGTACCCCACTCTGCCGCCAGTCCATCGCGCACGGCGCGACCGTCCCCGTCCTGTGCCTCCCCGGGACAGCGTCCCCGCGCAGCAGGGATCTCCGGGATCCTCCGCAGCACGGCCGGGACGAGGAAGTTGTTTGTTGGCAGGGCTGACGTGCGGTAAGCGAACCGCCTCCCCAGGTGACCGCTGGAGCAGCACGTCGAGGGCAGAGCACTGGCACCGTGAGGGCCGTGGTGGGTAAACAGGGCCCTGCCCAAACACACCCGGACCCAGGGAGCAGCACCGTACCCGCAGCTCGGGCAAGGTCAGGATCTGGCTCTTGGGAACCCGTGCGGAGCAGGCATTCTCCCTCTCCTCCTTTGGCAGCAGTTCACTGAACCTCTTGTAGGCACTTGAAGAGGCAAGAACAAGAGACGCTCTGTGGCGTGAGCAGCGCGGGAGGCAGCCCTCCGGGCACGGGCAGCGCAGGCGGCCCTGTGCAGAGGCGGACGGCCCGTTTCCCACAGCTCCCTGCCAGCCGCGCAGGGCCGGCCCGCGGCAGCAGCCTGCCACCGGCCGGGGTGGTCCCGCAGAGGCAGCACCCCCGCCCCTGCTCCCCGGACCCCGAGGGCTGGCAGCAGGGCACAGGAGCTGGCCCTGCTGCTTGCCCACCCAGGTGGCTGGGACTTCAGAAGGGGGAAGAGCCGGCCCCGCAGCCACAGCCCCGCAGCCATCGCCCGCTCCGCAGGGCGTCCCCGGCCAGGCCCTCGCCGCCGGCAGCACCCGCAGACCTTTGCACCCCGAAGCCTGGCCGGTGGGGAACGGCCCAGCCGGGGCTCGGCGCCTCCCGGCCCCTGCTTGGCGTGGAGCAGAAGGGAAGCCCCGCAGCGGGGTCGGGGTCCCCGCGGCAGAGCCAAACCCCCCGTGGGGAGCGGGCTGGCCCGGGGGGACGCGGGGCCGGGGGCAGCGCCCCGCTCCCTGCCCGGCGGTACTCACAGCAGGATCTCCTGCTTGCTCAGGAATGTCAGCTCCTGCGGGAAGAGCGCGGGTCAGC